CAGAAGCCATACACCAATGCATGAAACTCACACACAACAAGGGCACCATGCCATGAAATATGAACCCGCTCTAAAGTCATGCTCTAAGTACCGCACAAAATGTAATAAAAAGATCAAAATGAATACACACCAAATAGCTCAATCCATAAGCTAGAAGCCCACGCCATTCATTCGATAAGAACCGGCACCTAAAAACCCTAGAGCAACCGAGCTCCTCACCTACTCAGGTCAAAACCCACACAATCTTCAATGCCATAACAAGTACTCTACCGTACTAGCAACCACCCCAATGCTCATCTGCATAAGCATATAAGAATAAATATATACACATACATAAAATGAATAAAACCCACAATACCATGTTCATTACTTGTCACTTAATCATAAAAGAAAATTGCACCAACCGTGCCTATTACTTGCCACGTCATGTATCACATACTTTCCACATTATCATATATAATATGCTTTCAAATACTTTCACATTTCATTTACATAGTTGGATCATATAATTTTTCTACATACATGGCCATGTAATACAAATTTTAGCGTTTAAACACGTAAGCATGTGAACACTTAGCAAATAAACATGTCTTTTAAAACTGTAAACATATAAGCAATTAAGCAAGTAAACATACTTCTCAGATAACAAACACTTTGACACATAAGCACATAAACAATGCAATCCACCTTCCACACAACCCTAAGTAGGCCTCTACCCGTCATCCTACTGGTTTTCGAACCATTGCTCTGATACCATTTTTGTAACGACCCGAACCTGAGGGTCCGAATCACTAATCGGGTCCTTACCCAAACCCGAGGTTAACAAAAGACATTACCTTTCTTTCCTATGGCAATACATAATATGCGTGTCATCCCAGGGTTTATAAATAATAATAATAGTAATGATAATAATAATTTTAGATCATAGTTACAAAATAGGTCGAATAGTCCACTAACTCATCAAAACCTGTAGAGGAATGTCGTCAGCCACTTCCTTTCCCAAACCTGAAAAATGTTAAAATTATAGGGTGAGCATAAGCTCAGCAAGAGGTGTCTAAGACACACCTCTTATGACCCTGTGAATCCACGTATAGAATAGAAATTAAGAGAATGGGATCATACTATACCAGGGATACAATTCATAACCACAATGTCAAATATAACCCCAATTGTCATCAAAGTCACAAGTATACCATGTATGACAATGAAGTGCAATGACATGCCCATATCGCTCCCCTTATCCGAAACATCTCCGTTTCAACTTCCAAACCATTAGTGTAATCCGACCCAAGGCACCTCCAAGGCGTCACGAAAGGAGGATTGGCTAACTATCCACGACCACAATACACCTCCAAGGCGTCGCATCCGGCCTAGTTAACTCAACCACATTCCCTTCTAGGCTACATTAACACCACGGACCACTAGGCGCCTCCTAGGCGTCCGGTTTTTGCAAACACATTTCAAATTTTTTTTCCCAAAAACAATTTCATTTGTTTTCTAAAACAATTTTCCCTTTTCTCTTTTATTAGCAATGGATGCATGAATGTTTCATACTTCTAAGCACAATTCAACAATAAAATTCTACATGCTCTTCTACATCATCATCATTTTATTTTATATATATATATATATATATATATATATATATATATATATATATATATTTAGGAAATTCCAAACAATTATTTCACAACCACAACATCAATTTCCATAGCAATTGAGAATTCACACAAGTCACACAATATACGAAAATTAAGCATGTTTCTTCACAATAATGTAAATAGCCATGTATATCACTTAATTAGCATGTAAAACACATTTGTCATTTTGAGCACATACAACCACAATAGCAATGGACAAGATAATTAAAATTAAGCATGCTTATGGTCAGATTAAAGAGGAAAATTCACAAAAATCCAAGAAGTCATGGATTATAACACCCCTACCTCAATTTTGTAGAAAATCCTCAATTGGGTCCAAATTTTCAAAATTCCTAGGATACACCAAAACTGAAATTGCTTACACCCACTTAAAGATCTCGCCGAGCTCTTCGATCTGCCGCAAACGGCACCCAAAAATTCCAAAAGACAAGAGAGAAATCAAGGATTGAAGTCTCACTTGGAAAGAAAAAAAAAAAATGAAATGAGAAAAGGGAGAGAGTGAGTTACGGGAGAGGGAGAGGGAGAGAGAGAGAGTTGTGAGGCCATACGTGGCCTTCATGCCACTTAAAGATAAGTGGTTGGTCACACCACTCTTTTTCTTTTTTTTTTCTATTTAATACATATATATATATATATATATATATATATATACCATCACAACAAAATCTTCAATAATAAGAAACAACATCAATTACTGAAAGATTTTCCTTCACTGATTCCTCCATTAAATCTTCAATAAAGGTAAAGATTGGAGATGATTTTTCTATACAATTAAAGTAGGATGTATTAAATGAAAGAGTGCGTCTGGTGAACCGTGTGTGGAATGCTTCCAGCAAACTATGTGATTTGTATTGTTGAAAGGAAAAATTAATAGAACAACTATCAAGAAAGTCATGCTTTATGGGGCAATGTTGTACGGTTAATCGTTAAACTATGAATATTGGGTATGACAATGGTAGTTTAGTCATGAACAAATCCATGAGATAATAGAGATGACGGGACATAGTACATATGGAGGTTTTCTTTTGGGGAATGTGAAGATCAAAATTATTATAAGTTGGGAATTGAGATTGAGAAAAAAAAAAATGAAGAAGAAGAAGAAAGACATAATACAATGTTAATTTTAAAGTTAATTCCTGTAATATGTCTGTACAACTGGGACAAGGATTTTTTTAGTTAAACTGAATTTAAATGATTGCTAGGAATTAAGAAGGTTAGAGAAACAAAAATAGTACAATATTTGCCATTTAGTTGCAGTAGGATGTGATGAAGAAGCTAAGGGAGTATACATGGAAATGCTGGAACAAAAGTTTTTTTTTTTTTTTTCTGATTTTTTTGAAAGCAAAGATCGCATGCTAGAAAATTTGCTTCAAACTGGATTGATGCAAAATGGTTTTGTCAACCACTCCTGTAGCCTCCTTGCCTCTCTCAAATGATTGAATGCAATTATTCTAATTTCTAAAATATTGATGGATTATGGATTGGAGTAATTATTATTCATGTTCATATTACATTGTATATAACATCTTCTACATGAAACTGGAGGTGCCTTTGATTTACAAGGCCTGATGTGATGTTGGTCAAGTGTGCGTGTGTGTGCACACACACGTTAGATTCGGACGATGAATTATTTGGAAAAGGTAGGTAAAAAAGCAGTGAAAATGAAAATTTTAATTGATAGCAAAGAAGCATATATTTCCTTTCCAGTGCGGTGTAATGTATCAGAATGGAAATTAAACTGCTTGCAAGTTGCTATTGTGCTGCACAACTTTCTTTGTTTCTTTTTCGTAGATCTTGGTGTTAGTTTGGATTTTTGGCAATCCATTTCCCTTCCCTAAATTTAAATTTCTTCCCTCGCTACACTGGATTTCATGGAAGACAATCACTACAAGGAAAAAACTAGTTAGTACTGCATTAATTTGAGCCATAGATGGATAGATGTGTGATGGGGTGAGTCGAACCTAGTTCTCCTACGACTCAGGGGAGTGCCTCTACTAACTGGGCTACCCAGCTCACCCCTATATATATATATATAATAGATAGAGATAGGTATAGAGAGAAAGAGGGAGAGAGGCTTGATGCTAGACTCCTCCATCTTCTGGTTATTTGTAGAGCTGAAAGAGAGCCATGTGAATGTCCTTGGGTCCTCACTGGTGGCAGATTCTTTAAGCTAAAATATACTGAGATATCAAGACTATGTATGTGGTGCACACTTTAGGGTTGTAGGGATGGTGCATACTGAGAATTTGGAAGTTGAACAAAGTTATATCTGTCTAAAAAGTTCAGAATTTGATCACTGAGGCCACTGCTTAAAGGATTAACTATAACATTGAGAGTGGGGTTGATGTGCAATGCCATGCTACAATATAATTTGCTACAAGTTACTGTGATGTTAGATAGACAAACCCCAGTTCCAAATCCCACCACTTGTGACATTTAACATATCGAAACATTTTTGTGTTTTGTACATCTCCACCGACCGGCCTCACACACAACATTATTTGCAGGCAAGATCATCTTTCCAACCAGAAATCTGACATCTTTCTTGTATTTTTTGCAGCCTTTTTCAACACTTCCAAGACATAATTTACTTGATGTACACTTCTAGACTCGATGCGAATCACAATCTGATGTACATTTATGGCCTATATGTTCTACAGAAGTTCTTTTCCTTCTTTCCTTTTTCTTCTCTCCCCCCTTTACTATTTTCATTTGTGAAGGCAGGTCTAAGGTTTATCTAGCTTTCTAAAATTTCTGTTTTACTTCAACAGGTTAGAAAGTTCCATCAGGTTGGAGTATTACTCAGGTCCAACTGATTGTCCTTGGAGCCAGTTGAGTGAAAGCTTGAACATTTTCTCATCGGACAAGAAAATCAGAGCTATCCTGATCTTTCCCTGTGAAGATAATGAAGATAATGAAGATCAAGTCATTAGGAAAAGCCCCCTAATGTAAGCAAGTTCAGTTTCAAAGCTGCATATTCCGCCATGGAGAATGAACGAATGACGGTATTTTAGGCTGAATTTGAATCAAGGGAGGATGGTTTCAGAGGAGGAATGGCCTACGAGGGTCATGTCCGAGGAAACACCTATGAGTCGAGGAATCCTATCCAACGGGAACCATTAGGCAACGAATAATCAAGTCACAAGATTGATTTTTCACCATTTTCAACATGTTTGATAAGAGACTTAGCATGGGGTCTTTGGTATTTGAAATTTGATAACTTCTGTTGAAATCTGTCTCATGCCTTTACAAGATGTACCTGTACTATTTGTGTATATATATATAAAGAGCAATAACCAACGTCATTGGTTGCTCATTTACAAAGTGTAACAGCCAATGGAAAAGATAACAAAGATTTCCAATTGCAAAATGTGTGAGAGAGAGAGAGAGAGACGGATTAAGAGAGACAAGGTTTAATGAGATTAGTTATTGGCCCATACTTGTCATTCCGAACAAGAAACATTATATGTTGATCTCTACTTTTTTCAATACATCAAACCCCCAAGTAAAAAAGGACAAGTCAAAAAAATCTATGAATCACACCATTGTTACACTGATTCAATTTCACCAAGTATACAGCAGACAATCTCTAGAAAATTCACCCCATCCTTCCTTGCTTGACCTTGCCAAAGCAACTCAAAATTGCTAGAAACTGATCAATCCACTAGTTTCGATCTATAAGCTAGCAAAGCTATAAATATTGATCAACGAGTACAAACCTCAAAACTCAATAGTCCCTGCAGTGCTTGGATGCTGCAAAAATCACCACAATATTCTGAATGAATGCTTTAGATCACTTCGGATATCCAAAAGACACGTTCTGTTAATTCATCCAACCGTTGAAGCTCCACTCGTGGGCTGTTTGGCCACATATACTTGCTTCATCTTTGAAGCGGGGAAATTCTTATCTGAACCAAGGGACTGGTTTCGTCCATGGAACCCTAACCTGCGCTGGGACCATTCACCTGCTAAATTATTCTTTTGAGACCCACCTCCTCTATGATAATTATAGCCTGCATACTGACTGTACTGCTGGCTGGCTGGATTCTTTTGCTGGGAAGACTGAGTCCTGAAATCATTTGTGCAATGGCCTTTACCGTTGTTGCTACTGCAATTCTGATCAGCACCAGTCTTGCCAACATCTGCTTTGGTGCTTCCAGAGGAGGAGCCCTTATTGATAGCACTGTGTGTTGAGGAGCCAGCAGCATCGGAGCTCAGTGATTCTAACCCAAGTTCATCAGGAAATTGGGTGACAGTTGCATCTGTTGCCACAGGGAAACTCTGGTTGCTGTCGGATGGGGTTGAAGTTCGAGAATCCGAGAACCTGTTAGTAGTCAACAATTGGTCCATATGATGTCCATGACTGAAATGAGAAGGCAATACCCCTTCTGCTTGTTGATGTGACGTCAGTGACACAGGAATAGAGTGAAGTGGTGATGCGGGAACATGGGACCAGCGGCCTTGGGCTGACATGTCAGGTGCGGACTGGGCAACAGTTCAATTTAATTGTTAGTTATGTCAGATAATAAACTATGTTCCCAACTAATATAAAAGAATGGCAATATAAGCAATCATGAGACTTTATGAAAGTCACTGGTCAACGTCGCATTGCAGGCATTCATTTGGATGGAACATGGTAGTTAAGAATCTGGTCTACTTGCACAAAAAAATAAAATAAAATATATATAAAAACAATATACTCAGGTGATAAAACAGAAGTGCAATCATTATTTTGGTAGCAGATTTAGCTTCTAGTTCAAGCACATGGATCAAATCATTTACCTGGAACGGAGACATGTCGAACATGGCCAAAGGAGATGCCATAGGCAGAAGCGACGACCCAGGGGTAAGATGTGGGACAGAAGCAGGCATGTTGGAAGTATCCCGCTGTGCAGAGACCATATCCACACTATGCACGTCCCCTTCACAAATACCCATGGCAGATGATGTGACGTTGTGCTTCCAGTCGGGTGGTTTCCCAGATGGGATATAAGTTGTACCCACAAAACTCAAACCAACTTGGCCAAATTGTCCTACTGGTGCAAAATGATTATAGACCACCATGTGCGGGGGGCCTTGAACTCCTGGAATACCTCCAGGTGGACTGATGAAAGGACCTGTAAATCCTGCTGGAGGACCATAGAATGAGTCCACACCAGATTGGCCTTGTTGCCAGGTCCCAAGATGCCCTGAAAGCGATGCAGTACTCTCTTGGGACTGTGATTGGGTGCCTGCAGATTCATCACGTGGACTGAAAGCAAAAATAGGACCCCCCAACATGGGATTCATATCAAAGATGGGATAGTGGGAAGGTGGACCGCCAGGAAAATGAGAAAGCATCCGGCTTAAAGAATTCGGTGGACTTGGTAAAGGTGGCCACAAGGAGATTGGCGAAGTCTCAACAGAGAGATCTGCGGGAAGAGCTACACTGAGAGAGTCTTCAGCCCTCGATTGACTTGGTAATAGCTGATCACAAGCCACACCTGAAAAAGATTGGAAAAAAGAAAAGGCTCTAATATTATACAAACAAGATAAAGCAATACGCAAGAAGCAGCTGCAAAGTTCACTGCCTATGGTTGCAGAAATTTGTTTACCGCCACTTGTGATCCCAACAATATCTGCACCTCCACAGCTTTTGGTATCTGAAACAGAAACAGAGCTTTCATTCCCAACACTCTCATCACAACTGATGGCAGCAGCAGCAACAGCTGAAGCAGCTGCTTCAGCTTCAGCTTCAGCCTCACGATCTCCTATGTGAACACAAGATTCATTGGAATGCTTGTCTTTTTCAAAAAACAGAGTACAATCATTCTCAGCTGCAGACAAATCGCGAGAGATTTGGATGTCTGACCGACCAGAACCTGGAGGTCCAATACCATGTGAAACACGGCTACTAGGAAGTAGTACTGTTGGGGAAGTAACAGCACCTGAATGGAAAAGGAAAATTCCATCAGAAGTAAGGCAACTGCAACTTTGGAAAATAGAATTCCATAAGAAAAAATACAACTTGGGAAAGTAGTCAAGTACATATGCTCACCAAACTGAATTTTCTCCCCAGCAAGAAGGGAATCAATTGGACTTGCTGTGGAAGGAAATGATTTATCTTTCATCAAGATGGACGACGATGGCATGATGGGTTCACTGACTGAGCAAGTATGATCTCCGACGGAAGCAACATGTGCATCGAACCGTACAGGCTTCATAGCCTCGTCGAGTTGGGTCTGTGTTAAGGCCATAACCTACCAAATATAAGTAAATTAGTTCAAGTCTTCAAGACTCTAAGCAGATTCACTAAGCCAATAATGGCAGGACTATTAGAGTGGAACGCCCAATGGCAAGATCTGTCACATCCCAAGCCCCATAATCCAAAAATAAAATGTTTAACCAAGTATTTGAGGTGTGATTATAAGATATTAAATTAACAACCTCAAAAGAAATCCTATTACTCTAGCGATCTTCCAAAAAATAATTCAAAAGTTGCTACAAATTATTCATGCCATAGATGTCCTCATTTAGAATATCAGACATTTAAAAATGTTACAATAGGAATCTCTCTAACATATTACACAATTTTTTTAGTTCTAAGGCTTTAAATTATAGAATTAACTAATACACACCAACAAAACAATTTGCAGTTGTTCTCGTCATACCAACTAATGTCTATATTATGAATTTTCACTGCCATAACCTGAAGGTGTGATAATGGTGAACTTGATGGCCCAATACGAAAATGTACTCCAAATATATTTATATATAGAGTATAGACCCATTTCATGTGGAAACCGAATAATCAATATACAATATCTCACATGAACACTTGAATTATTTATTTATATTATTTGTTATTTGATGTGTCCCGAATTTTGTCTCAGTTCGGGTCGCAACCCTCTTGTGGATCTTGGGGTATATAAGGGCATTTAGGGTTTGGAGGGGGATAATGAGGGAACACTGAAAACCGCAAGAGAGAGAGAGAGAGAGAGAGAGAGAGAGAGCTAGGGTTCGGGTGCTGAAACTTGTAATCTCCTGTTTTTTGCACGGTGAAATCCTTCGCCGGATCTTCTCTATGGACGTAGACTTTGCCGAAACATGTAAATCTGTGTTCTTTGTGTGTGGCGTGTTTACTTTTCTGTTTTTTTTCTTGATTTGTTCTTGGTTTGCAGCGTTTGTAGTAACAGTTATTTATATATTATTCTTTTATAGCTTTATTCAAGTATGGATAAAAGGATAAACTCATATCAGTAGATAAATAGTCAATATTATTCTTATAGCTCATCTTCTCAATGAAGGTTCCAATAGATGTTTACTGTTCATTTGAGACTTTAATGACAAGCTGAGGGTTAGAAGAGAACCTAGGAGTATTTATATTGTTTTTCATATTCGACTTGAATTCAGTCCAAATTATTGTTCAAGGTTTCTGATGTTGGAGATTACTATCCAAAATATTTATTATTATCAAACAATTCATAGAGAATATATATAAAATAAAATAAAAAAATTAAAAAGAAGAAGAAGATATCATTTTTCTACCGGTTATCACATCCTTTATCCAACCAACAGAGAATTGTCATACCATAAAGTATGCTTCAATTGTTCCACTCTGCTTATAATATTTTAAACTTTCAAATTCACAACATCCCAACCTGTTTCAACCAATTACAACTCCTTTGACAGAATTTAACCCCACAACATTTAGTACCCAAAACAAACACAGCCAAGCTGCGCCATGTCCCCTCAAATACTGCACATATTCAAACAAGAATATCAAATTTTAATAAATTTATTACGATACCCAGTTCTCATCCATTTTCTCAGTAAACCCACAACCTACTTATAATATACCTTTTCCAAATGCTTTAATACCTTACCTCTTGTAAATATCCTGTCACTTCCATGGTCACTCTGATACCACTGTGTCATATCTCAAATAACAGAATCTAAAAAATCCAACACCTACCCAATCCAACAATCGAGGTGTGATAATAAGATATTAACAACCTCAAAAAAATCCCACCACTCTAATGATCATAAAAAAAATAATTAAAAATAAATAAAAAGTTGCTGAAACATTTTCCCATACCATAGACGTTTAGCATAATGTCCAATAAAAATGTTATGATAGGAAACCTATACAATAAATTACATAAATTTTCAAGTTTTACGACTTAAATTATACAATTCATTATTACATGACCAGTATTATAGACTTGGACAATTTGCACTTGTTAGCTATATCTGCTAATGTTCACTAATCTCAATTTCTCTACCGCCCCCATAACTTGAAGATATGAAGACATGATAAGGGTGAACTTGACAACCTAATAGGAAAATTAACCCCAAATATAATAATATATAAACTCATTTCATTCGAGAACATACATAAGAAAGGGAACTAAGGCCCCTTTTGTCAGCTCCATGTAAGGCTCTCAAACTCGTGCTTTCAGTAGGCTCTAGGCTCCAAAACCCACACCTTTTTTTAACTCATTCAGAAACATATTCATGCGCTCTGTAGTCAATATCATATTAATCATACTTGATGAATCATATTGTTTAATCCTACACAATGATATGGTGCAATTCATGAGCTTATGGTTGATTATAGTTGCATAATTGCATCTAGTGTTTGATTCTAAATATTTATAATAATAAGGGTAAATTACCTGACCTCCCCTGAGGTCTGGGCTTATTACCCTCAGATGAAAGTTCTGAAAAAATCACTATGACGCACCCTGTCAGAGCAATGTTCGGTGTAATTTTACCATATTACCCACACTGTTATTATATTTATTTTTGACTCTTATTGATGATGTAAGCATAAAAATTGAATTTACCGTATCACCCTTTAACAATTTGAGTTCTACCTCAACACCACCACCGCCAAACCCAACCCCACCACCAAATTCTCTTTTCTCTCCACAGCCCCGCCACCCGCGCACACACTCTTTTTTCACATATATATATATATATACACACACACATATATATATATATATATATCATTGTAGCCCCTTGTATTATTGGTTGACCCAAGGGATCTCTTGGCACATAAGCATTCCCAAAAGTAATCATCCTCGGACATCACTCATCACTGCTTGGTGCTTATATACCAGCATACATGCAGCGATGGTAGTGCCTTCAAGTAGCGAGAATACATCCTACAAACCTTATGAATACCCTCCTCAAAGTTCGCCACCTCAAGCCCTAGTTTCATCACCTCCGGTCACTCTCCCTCTCTGAGATCAATTTGGAGAGTTGACCCAAAATCTTCTTTTTTATTCCCTACAAAGAGAATGATTTTCATCAATTCACTATAATTCAATGCGAGGGAATTTGATTTTTGTCAGAAGAATTGGGTTCGGGTTTGAAAAGGAGTTGGATCAGGAACCGCTGAGAGAGAGCAGTGATGGTGGTTTTGGAGGAGAAAGGCGGTGCAGGAGAGAGGTGATGGTGGCAGTGGAGCTGGTGGTGTCGGTTGCCTACTGCCCAGTTCTTCTTCCGTCATATATATATATATATATATATATGTATGTATGTATGATATGTATGTATTTATAACATTTTGGCTAATATGTATATTAGAAATATATTAGTAAAAATGAAATAAATTTATTATTTTTGTGATATAATATAGGGTTAAATTTGTAATCTCACAATAATTAGTAGGAATAAAAAAAAGTAATTATGTTTAGTGAAGGGTATTTTTGGTATTTAAAAGAATTTATCTCAGACTATAGGGTTGACTGTGATTTCACCATACCTCAAGGGAGGTTGACTTAATTTTTATAAAACTTCCATTTGAAGGTAATAAGCCCAAACCTCGTGGGAGGACAGGGTAATTTACCCTTTTAATAATATCTATTTAAAACCTACGTGATTATAGGTTTTTATGCACATTTATAGTACTTTTCTATTAAGTCAATACATATGCATATGGAAAGGATCTATGCACATTGATTTACCTGATCCTATTTATTAATAGGTCAAATCATTCTTTAATTTTTTATTAGTTTTGTGTTGTATATTCTAAATTGTTTCAAACGTACATTAATTGAACCAATTTCTTATGCAAATTGAAATGAGATATTTACATTTATTTAGCTAATCCACTAAATAGGTATCTCAAAATTTTCTTCAATACAATCTCAACTAGTTTGGGTTGCTATTTACTAGTGTTTTGGACTATGTAAGAATTGAAAATTTATGACTCGGAGTTGGTGTATTTCTAATTTGTAATGTACTTGGATTCATGTATCGTACATGTGCTAAGGACTTTTAGATGCTTGATTTTAAAGACACTTTTGATTCAGAGCCATGATTAAGTAAAATGTTCTATTGTGGTTATTGATTTATTAATTTCCATTGAGACATTGGTGATTAACTCACGCTGGGCGTGATAAATTTGGAATCAGAGCACAGGTAGTAGATTCCTTGGAGTTTAGGTGTATTAGAGTTTTGATATGAAGCATATTCGAGCTTTAAGGTCTTAATTTTGGTAAAGATCAGTTTTGCTTCAAAATCACAACGCTGAGAACTAAAAGGAGTAGGTCAGATGAATAAATTTAGAGATGAGCTGATTATGGAATGCACATGGAATTTTAGAAATAGCACAAATCTTTATTGAAAAAGCCTATCAATATAGATTTGCAAAATATAAGTATTTGGAGAGTCTGAAGGCCAGCTACCTTGAGAAACACTGTGGTGGAATGCTGGGAGTTTAATTAGGTCATAGGTGGAAAAAAAAATTCTTTTGTTCAAAGATTTCGATATGCAATAGAGTTGGTGAAATGGTGAGGACATAATAATGTAAAAAGGAAAAAAAGAAAACAATAGTCAAGGATACACCTAATGATGGATGAAAATGATTTTTAGCTTCAAGACTGAGTTATTGTATTAGATGAATTAGAAATGATAAAACACACACACACACTCTTTTAATCAAATCAACATTAAACCAGGTCATGGTGTGTCCAAAGTAGAATCAACTTAGAACAACTCGCATATTCTATTGCCTGTTACTTTTTCCGAACTATTACTGCACATATGTTTAAAAAGTATTAACTAAAAAAGTTATATCTACTCCCGGCTGTATCTACCACGGGCCTCCTACCATGTGTGTGTGGTTTTCTTTGCCATTCGCAATAAAAGTTGATTGTGCATTTATTTACCATTCAGAAAGAGACCCTGTCACTGGCAGAAGTTAAAATTGTATCAGATTTGAGGAAATGTGTTTGGCTGCAAAGCAATAATATTCTTGAAATTGGAATATGCACTTTAATAATAGGGCTTGATAGGTTCTCCTGATGACAACACACATTGAAATTGCATAGAAGGATACACTGAATGAACTCCCTCTCAAATCAACAAACTAACTCGCAAAGAGAAGGAAAGAGTCATTCTTTCTCCATACTATTCACAAAATCAAAGCAAATGGAATAATGCAACCTATAATTCACAAAAACTCATGGCCCCAAAATAAAGCTAATTAAACACACAATAAGTTAAGTATCTGAAGTTAGACCAATCACATTCCTCACCCCCCCCAACAACCAACACCAACCCCAAAGGCCACCCCCCCCCCCAAAATCACATTCCTATTCCTACTTTCTTTTTCATTTGCTTATCTCTCTTTAGCAAAACCTTATGAATATGAAGTAATTAAACAATAATATCACATTTTCACGAAACCTATAAAAAATTAAATAAGATGCAGAAAATGTGGAGCCAACTCAAGACATCCATAAACACCAGCATTGAACTGCAACATGAATGATAGCACCACTACAAGTACCATAAAATAATAGACTCAAATTTCACTATTAAGAAATGGACAACAGTTCTGCACACCTGTTGATTAATCCGTTCATTACCCCAAGACGTTTGAAAGTTACCCAGAACCTTATTCTTGGTCTCAAATATTAGGCCTGGCCCAAAACTTTTTCCACTATTAGAGATGGAGGAAATAGAACCTGATGGAAGAGACCTGTCAAAAAATACATACAATTATTGATATTTCTAAATGTATACATTTCTGGAAATATTCTTTATAATAAAGAGCATATACTTGATGGCATTTGACTTTCTATCAGTCTGTGTATCAGTGCTCCCTGCAGGAGTGCCGATTGCAGACAATGGTTGGGAAACCATAGAGTTGAATCCAGTGGACACTTCCAGGTTTGCTAATCCTTGGTCAGAGACAACAAAATCAGAGTGAATGCTGTCTGGTGCTTCTCCAGTAAAAGATGCAGAAATTTTATTTGAGTGAATTGATACAGCAGTACTCTGTTTGGTAGATCGAGGTCTCCGCGGTGTCTGGCACAAAACAAAGACAACATATAAAACAGATACATGCACTTCACTGCAACAGAACACATTTAGGAAGACAGAAAGATGGAAATAGGATGTGTATTGAAACCTTTGTCACCCGAGATTTCTCCTTGATCTCTTTTTCTCTCTGTTCACGCCGATCATTTAGCACTTGCCTCTTTGACCTCACCTGAACAAAGTCATCTTCATCACTAAGGACTTCTATGCCAGGTTGCTTAAAAATGTGTACAACACCACTTTCCAATGGAGTATCAACATCTTCTTCAGGACAAATGTTCCTTTTAAGGTTTCCCTCTCCAGCCCGTGAGATGGTCTGATTCTCTGTTAATGCTTCTTTTCCAATTCCATTATTAGCCCTGCTTCCAGAGCTTATCTCCTGCAAAATCACTGCACCTGAGCTTGAACACTCTGAATCAACCATCTGCTTCAGTGGTTTACTGGATACCACATTTTTCTTCAATCCATTTCTAACAAAAAATCCAACACCCCTGCCATTAAGATTTGACTTATCATTCAGCCCCGAGTTGTCAGAAGAAATTGTGACTGATGACTGCCTCCTATCAACATTTTCCCGGACTCGAAATTCGGTTCGCTGGATAGTCCGACGAGGTCTCTTCTGAAATCCACTAGAACCTGTGCGGGAAGCCTCAGAAACTTGAAAAGATGATCTTGGGCCAGAATTTCTAGATGAATAGGTGAATGTTTTACCTTTGACACCAGATATTGGACCTTGAGCCCTTGACCTATTAGAATCCTTTCCTCTTGAAACAGACTGGGATGATACTTGTCCTGTCTGTGACTGACCTTCTGATCCTCTCTCATTGGATGACTGTTTGTAATTATTCACAACTGTTTGGCGGTCTCCTTTATCTTCAGTTATGAAACCTGGTTCAGACATAACCTTGTTTTCACCAGCTTGGGAAATCCCAGCCGGAGTCTTGCATATCATAGCAGTACTTTCTGCACTATCCCTTCCTGAAACTGAATTTGACCCTCTTGATGCATTGTCATGAGATAGATTCAATGTCGTCGAAACAAAAACATGCTGGTCACCCACTATAAGAGATTGCACATCATCTTTCGTCATATTATGATTAGGATTATTTTGATTGGGTTGAATAGGCAAAGGAATACCTGACTTCTGATTCAAATTATAATAGGCCTGGGCATTGGGCTGAACAAAAGACATCGATTGAGGAGCCATTGGCAAAATTCCCTGGGAGATGGGAGATGTATACCTGATCTGACCAAACTGGAAAAGTGAAGGCTGTGATGGGTGCATATGGGAAAGGGTTGAACCAACAGGGGGATGTAGGTGGAGAGGCAATTGTATGGAACCAATCTGTATGGAAGGAACGGGAGATGATACAAGAGAGGGGCCAGAAAACATCCCAAACTGAAGTTTAAAAGGTAAATCAACTTCACTTGGAGCAGCAGGTACAGTTGACATGACAGTCTGACTAGAAGAAGAATGTGAAGCCATGTTAACTGAAGATGGGAGTGCATGCTGAGCAGATAGACCAGAACTACTAGAACCACCAATTCTATCCGAGAGATCCGATGCCAATGAGGCATGAGGAGCACTATCAACAGTTTGAACAGGAGAATCCTGGATTCTCGTGGAAGAACCATCAATATTCACTTGAGGAGAATCATTCACAGGTTGAAGGCTTGTCCCATCACCAGCCATCCCATCCGCAGGAACCTGTTCTTCAATACCAACAGAAACATTTGGCACCCCAAATGTATTTCCTTCGTTCCTATAGTTGCTTTCAAACTCATCACTTGGTATTCCAACTTCATAACCCTCATCAAAGCCCAAGACCAAGTTGTCCATTATATTGGATGTACCTTCCTTCACTAGATGCATATCTTTGAATTCCTGGGTCAGGTCGGGATTCTCATAATCTCCTTCATGCACTTCATCTTCTTCTTGATAACCATCTCCATCGTCATCATATTCTTCTTGCTCCTGGAACTCTCCATTGTTCTCAATAGCCCATTCTTCATCATCACCAGCAGATATAGAACTTGATGCTATCATCAGAGTATCATTTCCAGATTTGGCATTCAAGACAACAGATTCATCCTTAGACAGATGAATCTCCTTTCCTTCTGCAGCAGTTGATCCAATATCATCCAAGTCATCATGGGAGAGAGGATTTGGAGAGTCAGGGGGGCTTGAAACAGAGAGTGAAGATTGTGAGTCACATCTTCTTGTGGTGTCCTTGTCCAGTTTCTGCTTCTCTGTTATTGTTGACTCTTGCCGGACATCAACAATTTCAAATGGTTTGATCGTTTCTGGATGACCACCATAGTACCCTGTCTGCATAGTAGATTCACTTCTTGCTTTATGATTGTCATGCATGTTATTACCAAGAAAAGTCGACGAACCAGGACGTTCATTGTCTCCTCTGAAGGAAGTTCTATGCATAGAAGCAAGTGATGGAGGGGGAAGGACACGAGGCTGCCTTGTGGAATACCGTGATCTCCCATAGGAATAAAGTTCATCTGCCTCTGAACTAGGATACAACCGTTCTGGATATGGAGGACGCACATTGCTGTGTGAACGACCCTGGCCCAATCCAACATCATTATATTTTTCAGCGAGATTCTCATGAAATTCTGAGTCATTCTCCATGTGTCTGCTGTTGTAAGGATCTCCACCTCCAGAAGCATTCCACCTGTGCCCTTTTAGATGACTGAAATCATCAATGCGAGGTTCTCGCATCCCTCCTTCAAAATATGCCCTAGAAGACATATAACCAGATCCTCCATAGAACTCTTTTCTAGGGAATACTATCCCACTAATAGATGCATCTTGCCTGGGGCTGATGTGAGCATTATCCTGATCTTGCATAAGGAAGGGCGAGCTGTTCCCAGTCTCAAATACATCTCTTCTACATGAATTAACATGTTTTCCTCTGTCCAGAAAGCCAGAAGAACCATCTCTGATAGGGTGAGACCTAGAACTCATCTCAAAGGGTCTGTCAGGACCCGATGAATTATAAGATGTAGAAATTATTATCCTCTCCACAGTTCTCTCAGTGTCTTCCCAGTTATCCACATCCACAGCCCCGGATATATCATTTTCCTTCAACAAGTCCGACACTTTCTCATCTGCAACAGAAGCAGAACTATCACCCTTCGCCTCTTCAGCCTGCCTCTTGGCAATCCTAGCCTCCAATTCTAAGAGCTTTTGCTTAGCTGCCTGCTTCCTTCTCTCTTCCTCCACGAAAAGTCTCTGTTTCTCCTCTTCTCTAGCTATCCTCTGCTCTTCAGCTTTTTGAATGGCTTCCAGTCGCCCTTGTTCTGCCCTCCAAACAGATTCTCGGGCTTCTTCTTCCAGTCTTCTTCGGCGTTCTTCCTCTTCCCTGATCAATTGTTGTCTCTCCTCTTCCTCTCTCCGAGCTTGTTCCAAAGCTTTTTCTTGTTCATCAATGATCCGCCGCCGCTCCTGCTCTTGCATCTTCTGAACTCTCTCAAGTTCAGCCTCAAAAGATTCCCTTTCAGGGTCATGTAGATCAGCCTGTTTCACCACATCCTTTTTCCTCTTAATAACCCCTAAAAGACCACCGGTAAAGGGAACCCCTTCATCATACCCAGTCCCTCCCAAGTCTTTTAAAAAAGGGTCCTCAGAATAAGGCCTTTCGTTTCTTGCAAATGCACGTTTCTCCTTGCCAAAATTTAACACTGGATTCATCGGAAGCCCTTTACCACCTGAAGAAAATGATGATCTGGACGCTGAGTTATTCTGGAAAGAACCACCCCTGAATCTGTTGGGTTGCTCGCTTCCATATCGGTTTCGTGTATTCCACTCAGCCCCTCGGCTGCTAAATGATTCCAACGTATGAGACGGTTGCTGTCTCCCTTCTTGTCCATAGCCCATATCCCTCCTGCCATGTGCAGAGTCTTGGTTTCCTGCGAGACCAGCATCCAAAACATTGCCGCCAAAAGGTTGTGGGACATATTTATTCTCCCCTCCTGTTTCTCTGTTAAGACCAGTTGGCCTTGCTCCAAGACCATTTTTGTCATTCATAACTTCTTGAGCACTAAAACCGTTTCCTGCAGAAGGCGAAGATTTCCATGAGTTACCTTCCCTGCTAGGCGTTCTTACATCTCTGCGATAAGGGTCCAGTTTGGGGACTTCACTGGAAGAAACCTTCCCAGTTTCATCATCACGTTGAGACCACCTATCAAATGGGTGAGGGGGTTTGTGCGGTAAAACACTGCTCTTGGGCAATTCAAATTCTCTATCCCAATAAGCTTCACTTTTTGAAAACCCATGTTCTCTGGTGCGGTCTGCAAATCCATGACCTGTATCACGCTCATCATCAGCCCAATCAGATCTTGGATTCAACCGAACCAATGGCAGTGGACCAGGGAAGTAGTCTCCCTGCTTCCGAGCTTGCTCTGTTATGTGTGAATTTCCAAACCCATGACCTTCACCAGCATTCTTGTTATAGCCATTTCTGACAGGATGATTCGAAGCCTGCCCTTGGGGGCGCATGTGAAAAATCGAACTCGATTGGGAACTATCCCTCTGCTCATTGTAAGATTCTTCGCCCACTACAAGCTTCTGGTTCTGGTGCAAACTATCCTTTTGCTTCTGCACAGGCCCAGATGTAGTAGGCAAGGCAGCCTGCAAAGAAGGAAAATCCTCACCCCTTAAAACCGCGGCTCTCTCTGCTGGCAACGGATAAGCTCGAGCTGATGCAGAAACCGGGATTCCAATCCCACCCAACTGAGCAGAAGGCGGCATATAAACACTGCTTCGTCTAGTTACAGTATCCACCGCTTGCAGACTCTGGTCAATGCCATCTTGAGCATCATTACCAGACCTTCCAAACGCATCACCACTCCCATCCTCTTGCAAAGTAATAGTACCTGGCTTTGTCCAGCCCATACCAGATGAAGTTGGCCGTGATCCACTTCCTGAAGCAGCACCACCTGCTGAACCACCTCCTGATCCTGATAAATCGTATTTCTCATGCTCTTTCCTCAAAGATGGCAAATTCAAGGGGGGTGGAACAGATAGCTTCGTCCCAACCTTCTGGGAACTGCGAGGCCGCGAAAGAACCACCATTCCACTGCCATGACTACTGGGCCGACCTCGGCTCGCAGCAGCCTGTCCATAAGAGCTACTATAAGGACGCTGATTATGAGAAGGTTGCCCATAGGACTTATTCAGATTTACAGACGCAAACTTCGACCCCACACCGCCAGGATTGGCCATTGCAGATTGGTCTGGCGGATGTGAAACCCCACCAACGCATCCAAAACCTAACCCTAATTTTCTCTCTCAACAACAAATCGATGTGTACGGATTCTTCCTAACACGTATAATGACCAATAAACAAAAACGAAAACCCTACAAACTCGCTTCAACCCTAGATCAATAGAAACAATAATAAAACATATAAATATAGCATGATGGGTCACAAAGCTCGGCTGAGACTGTAATGAGTGAAAAATCTAACAAATACAGAGACTAAAGATTTGATTTTTGGTGATTTAGTTTGAAACAGATAGATAGATAGAGAGAGAGGAAGGGAGAGAAAAATTATAAGATCAAGTAAAATGGCTTGTAGAGATGAGGAACTTACCTCCGGTGGCGTAGGATAAGAAACGGCCGTGTACAACGACCGGCGTGCAGATAGAGAGAGAGAGCCGTAGGTGAAGACGGAGAAAGAGAGTTTCTTTTCGCAGTGTGTTGGGATGAGTACAGGGGAAGAGAAGGAAAGGGCAAAAGAATAGAAGGAAAATTAAAAAATATAAATTAAAATTAAAAGGCAAATTTTTTTTTTTTTAACGTAATCAAATAATTAAAAGGCAAAAAGACAAAAATAATAATAATAATAATTAAAAGGCAAATGAATAGAGGGGAAATGATAACAATGGTTTGTTATGTAATTTACCCAATTGTTATTAAAATGGTTATAAGAATTTAGGACAAAGAAAGTTGAGGTTATACTTATTGACCCAAACAAATTGTTTGTTATAGGGATACTTTTAGGAGCCCAAACTCCAAAGTACCTGATACAAATATTAATAATATTCTATGTATCTCATGTTTTTTAAATATATTTTTTAATTTTTAATATCATACTTTTTAATTATTCCGACTGCATATCTAACATTTTTTAGACACTTCATATCACATTTTTAAAAAGTTTTAACATTAAAATGCAACTTTCAACAATAATAACATAATATAATTGTTAAGAAAATTTCAAATTTTATTAAGTAATAACTCGAGATGTTTGTTTTATATATTGTGATAGGAACTTCTATGTTATAAATAATGATTACATTTATATTTGTAATATTTAAAAAAAAAAATTGACTAAAAATTAATATTTATATATATATATAAATAAAAATTATTAATTTTTTATTACCATACCCATATCTTTTTTTTTTTAAAAGATTTACCAGTATTATCGTATTCATATCCCATATTTATATTTATACTTTCTTTTGTGAAAATTTCACATAATTTTAATAAAATATAAAAATTGTTAACCCTAAGACTAATTTTGAGGATCACAAAACATTAATGATGTTTTAAAGACTAATATTTGCATTAAGATCATATGAGAGATAAATCATTTGAAGCCCAAATGGAGAATAAATCAAAGACAAGAATGAGCCAAGCAAGTTCCATTCTGATAGGCGTGTATTTATTGACTTGTTGTTGTCAAATACACTTCATATCAAGATAAAATACCTACAACCATTTAACTAAAAATGTTTATGGCAAGTGGGGTCGAGTCACACATTCAAGTGAGTTTTTGTTTTCGGATAAGAGATTTTAAAAACATTGATTTTGGAGTTTTGTCACGAACTATGAAAATGAAATTACAACTATAAAACATTAAACACTTAAATAAGAATCAACAAGAAATGAAGGCATGTAAATGGAACTAACTTGTTTGAAATTAAATGATAATGAAACTTGTGAAAATAACTTGTATTAAATTAAAAAAAAAAAGCTTTAAAGAAAATTACACAAAAAAATAAACTCTCAAAAACTATAACTATCTCACTCTATCTCTATCTCTATCTAGCTCCCCTTTCTTTGCCTCCGAAATGGCTCCCCTTTCTTTGCCTCCGAAGTGTGCAATTTATAGCCAAAGGAAGAAACCCACTTGTAGGCTTCGATGATGGCCCAAATTTCTGCTACTCTCATTGTTGACTTCCCATCCTTACCCACTTTCTGATTTCTTCTTTCTCTCTCCTCCTTTACTAACTCATCATCATTCTCTTTTTCTTTTCTTTTCTTCTTTCTCTCTCCTTCTTCATGTGGCTTCCTTCTTTCTTCTTATATATATATATATATATATATATATATATATATATATATATATTATGCTAATGATGATGTGGCATGCTGATTAGATGGAGGACCAAAAAGATAATGCTTCTTGTTTTTGGAAGGATTCGAACTTGGGAATTCATGAAAGATTTTGAACACAATTCCATCTCAGCTACAATGCTCCTCGTGTTTTCTTTAAATTTGCTTAGTAAAACATATAACCTTCCGTGCTTTGTTCTTCATTTTTGCTTGCATTCTTCCCATTCATACATTAATACTAGGGCTGCAACTCGGGTGGGCCCAACCCGAATTTACTCAAGCCCAGCCCGCATTTTTATGGGCTTGGACAATGATTTTTTGTTCTGGGCTTGGGCCTGGGCTGAGTTTATTGAGCCCGAATTCAATTCGAGCCGAGCTCGGGTAGATATGTTATGAAACTCGAAGCCCAACCCGAACCCACCCGAAATGCTAAAGCCTGTTCAGCCTGCTAAAAGAACCCGAACATCAAGCCCGCCTAAATGCCCAACCTGTCACATTGAACCTTTCAGAGGAAAGTAATCATAGAAAGTAACAAGCATTACCATTTTTGCTCCAACAGCCCTTGTGAAATATTTTGCTTAGTAAAACATATAAATACTAATAATATATACCTAACATAAAATTATAAGGAAGGCCATTATTTCTTTTGATAAGATCCAAAAAATTATATCTACCTAATATAAAATTATATTTATTTCTTTTGATAAGATCTAAAAAATAAAAAAGGTTATTTCTATTGAATAAATTATTTATTTTTACGAGACATAAAAAAATATCAAATTTTTTTTTTTTTCAAATAGGAATTATTGACTCATTAATCATTATTAGAGGAACTCCTCTATTGAAAGTGATATTATTGACGATTTTAATATCTGATTTGCATTATTGACTCATTATTAGAGGACTTATTCTACAAAAATTGCAATGTTTTATAATTTTTCAATACTTTGCATTTTTTTTTTTTCTCTTTTTGTTTTTTTGTTTATGAGTGTCAGATAGTCAAATAGATCATTAGTTTTAAATTTTAATCACTAATGCCTATCAAAGTAATAGCTATTTATTAATGATTAAAGACACAATCTTTTACATATAAAGTATAAACGAAAGGGATACACAATCTAATTATATCATTTATATGTAAAGAATCCTTACAAATATGCAATGTGATGTATACATAAAACAAATATACATATATCAATGTCTATCAAAGTAATAAATGTATATAATATATTAATGATTAAAGACACAATCTTTTACATATAAACAAAAGAGATACACAATCTAATTATATACAAAGAGTCCTTACAGATATGCAATATGATGTATACATAAAACAAATATATATATATATATATATATATATATATATATATATATGTATGTATATCAAAGTAACAAATGTATATCAAATTATTAATGATCAATGACACAATCTTTTACATATAAACAAAAGAGATACAGAATCTAATTATATACAAAGAGTCCTTCCAGATATGCAATATGATGTATACATAAAACAAATATATATATATATATATATGTGTGTGTGTGTGTGTGTGTGTGTGTGTGTGTGTGTGTGTATCAAAGTAACAAATGTATATTAAATTATTAATGATCAATGACACAATCTTTTACATATAAACAAAAGGGATACGCAATCTAATTATATATAAAGAGTCATTACAGATATGCAATTTGATGTATACATAAAACAAATATATATATAATTTAATATACATAGTGATTGAAACTTTAATAAACAACAAAAATACTAGATTAAGATGAAATCTAGAAAAGAGATTACAACTTTCTAAATAGTTAATTACCTTCTATTTACAACTTTCTAAATAGTTAATTACCTTCTATTTTTAAATAGGTCCCATTATATTTGACACGTGCAGTCATGCATAGCCGCGTAAACTATGTGAAGTAGTAAATTTTTATTTATCAAGACAAATAGTAGGACTCATATAGTCACACATACACACACACATATATATAGTATCTCGTAATAAGCATTGTATGTCACAATGAAAACATATATCAACAAAAAATAATCAAAACTGAAACATTGACTATATATATAATTATATATATACACAATAAAAATAAAAACTTATTAATGTATTATCAAGGAAATTAAGAAAAGCAATAAAATAAAAATCAGGAAAGAAAGAATTAGTTGAACACTTAAAAAAAAAAAAAAAAAAAAAAAAAAAAAAAAAAAAAAAAACGAAGAAAAAGAAGAAAAAGTCGAACACTGTTTTTACTTTTTGGTAAATAGAAACCCTAGGTTCCTTATCCTTACTTAGTTCTTACTTTTCCTATTTCCTTTACTCCCAAAGTCTGCCTCCCCTACTTTCCAGAAGAAAAAAGAAAACTTTGTCTCCCCTCTTCTCAGTTTCCATCGCCCGTTGTTCCAGATCGGATTAACCGTCGCAAGCTTCAGCCGTTCACAGCTGTCTTTCAACTCTCAAGCTTGCCCCTCCTCTCTCTCTGCAATTGCTAACTTATATGTATGGGTTTTGTTTTATTTTTTTTTTATTTTTTTATTTTTTCATTTTTTTATTTTTTCTAAATCAACTAATCAAGGCTATAAGACTATAATTCTTGTTTTGCAATTTTTTTTTTTTTATTTCAGATTGTTCAAAAAATCAAAACCCGTATCTTTCAGTTTCCAGATCCAGATCTCCAACCCCTATTCACCACTGTCCAGGACAGGTACTAGATTTTTTATTTATTTTTTGTTTTAATTAGTTGAATCCATTGCTTTACTGAACATTTTTTTTTTTGTTTTTTGTTTTAATTAGTTGAATCCATTGCTTTATTTCAGATTGTTCAAAAAATCAAAACCCGTATATATATATATATATATATATAGTAATTATTGCTTTACTGAGCTTTTTTTTTTTTTTTTTTTTTTGTTCAATAATTTACTGAGCATTTTTTATTTTTATTTTCTTCACACATACATTCTAGAAGTACTGAAAATTTGGGATGGTGAAAAAGAGAGACACAAAGGCAACAAATGAAGCCACAATAAAAACCATGCCAACTTTGCAGAAAAAGAGTTATCTACCAAAATCTGAGGTGTGGAATCATTTCACAAAACAGAAGAAAGAAGGGGAGAGCGGGGGGGGGGGGGGGGGGGGGGGGGGGGCTTCTGATAAGGCTAATTGCAATTGCAATTATTGTGGGGGCTTGTATAGCTGTCCTACTAAGAATGGAACTAGTACTCTACTTCGACACTTAGGATTCTGTTCCAAGTATGATGGTAATAAAGACCCTACTAAAAAAATCTTAAGTTTTGGAGGTGATGGTTCTGGTGTTAGTAATTGGAAGTTTGACCAAGAAGAGTGTCGCAAAGAGCTTGCAAGAATG